ACACACACACACACACACACACACACACACACACACACACACACACACACACACACACAGTCGCAGTGGATAGTTGACACTTGTTTCTGATTGGAGTCATAACAAAGAGCTCGTGTTGTGCCTACTGTTGGAGAAGGAAGAATCTGAAGCAGGTTCAAGCTGTTGAGTAAATACATTCACACCGGCTCTAGTGTCCTTGTGCTGCTACAGTCAGAAAATGCTTTGTTCTCATTGTCAGCTCAACACAATCGCACAGTATTAAAGCATCAAGCTCACAATACACACGTCCTTTGAATTCAATTTAAGGGCAGTGATTAGACTCATCTTCTTTCTTTCTTCAGCATTACCCAGTCATCTGAAACCGTGACTTTTGAGTCTCACAAGTTTAATCTCTTCTCTGCTCCTCTGCAGTTTCTCTGTGATCCTCTCAGCTCTGTCATCTCCACTTCTTTCCAAGCAGCTGACATCAGGACCTAAACCAGCGTGGGCAGAACGTGTGAGGTTCAGCTCAAAAATAAAAGTACGGGAGTGAGTTAAACGAGAGTGAAAGGTGCAATGTAAGTGGGCTTAATGTGCACAAATCACATTCTGGATCAAATATGAGTCGCCCACCTTTTATGGGCAAAAATGTTGGCACAAAGTAAATTAATGAAAAACGGTGGAGCTATAGTAATAAATAAAAACTCCTCCAATAACAAGCCATAACTCTGAATTTCAAACTCTTCCTGTAGCAGTTGAGGTTCAGTGTGATCCTGGGTTCACCTCTGTCATGCGTCCGGGTTGAATTCCTTGAATACAGCCGAGCGGCGGTCACAGTTATCAGCCGTGCACAATCACTGTGATTGTTTGTGTGATTCTGGCATCGATGCCAAAGCAAAACGCAGCTGTGAATATTTCTGTTCTTTCCTCTTTTTTTTATTACGTGTTCTGATGATTGAGATAGGATTCAACTTTCGGCTCCATGTAGGGAAGTGATGTCGACCATAACGGATTTGGATAAGGAGTAATGAGTGTAAAACTACAGTGTAAATTAAAATGAATTAAATTATACTTATTACAATGATTGTTGGGCTGCATTAAAGGGTCACTCCACCAGTTGTTCACTGATGCAGAAGAATGCTGCACAGCCTGATGATGAAGAAAGATGCTATAAAGTTGCATTATGGGAAATGCAGGATCCAGGGTCTTTTGAGCTTGACCAATACTACGGACAAAGAGTCAAGGTGTTTTGCAGGGTTAATTTTGATCATTTCTTTTTTAAGTAAATGAAAGTACAAACTATAATAAAATAGATAATTATATATATATATATACTTTTGGTTTTTATCATAATTAGTTTTATAGAAATACAGTAATGGATCAGGGAAGCAACCCTCTGAGAGAAACCCTCTGACTAGTGACAGTGCAAGTGTACAAAATGTGTGAACGTGAAGCAGAACACTGGACAAAATGTTTAATTGACCACAGACACTTGGTTTAGACAGCCAGACGGAGAAGTGTAAACACTCCAGGCTGTGATTTACTATGAGTTCTGTACGATTTATTATTGTTTGATTGAAACCTAAAATTCTCCAGCTGCTCCTTTCTCTTCTCTCTCTCTCTTGTTTCTTTGATTCTTTTTTGTTCAGCATTGATGTGAATTGTCATCTTGTTTCTATAATCACCTTTCATTTCTCTCAATTTCTTTTTCTTCTACTTGTTCCTCTTGTTGGGCGTCTTTTGATCGATGATTAAGTTGATGATTATTATGACTTTGTTTAGAGAAAACGCTAAAAACTGAGTACGAGAATAAACCATGAAAGACTCTCATGTCTAAATAATAAGAAAGAAAGAAAAAATCAAAGCCCAGACTGGTTGATTCCTGTTCCACTTTTCGTTGTGGACATCAGCTGTCGTGCCACTTCCTCCTCCTCTCAGTCTCTCCATCCCTCTATGGCCTCGCTTATCGGTGATTGAAAACTTGTTTCCTTGGTGACAAATTGAACCGTGGAAAAGATCCACCTGGGCAAATCAGCTCCGTTTAATTCAATTAAGGCCTCAGTCTGTTTTCTGAGAGGGTGTTGTGTGTTTTCTTTAAATATGATTTTTGGGCAGTGAGTAGCTTCTGGGTGTTACTTCATTGACTATAGAAAACAGAAAAGAGTGACCTTTTCCTGTTAATAGATAATAAAGTACAGTGGTTAAGATAGACAGGAAATAGAGAATGTTTTCCAAAAACAGATCGTGAAAACAGTTTGTCATTCAGAAATCCAATTATTTTTATTCAGAGCTTGAGGCTAAAATGTTCAATTGTACACAACAAATTCTAAATGTCTAATATAGGGCAGTGTGACTGCATTTGGTATAAAGATATGGAAAATATGGAAAATGAGGAACATACAGGAGTTGATAAGGAGACTAACAAGATTATGTCACGAGAACATTTCTTATATTTGATTTCACTGAATCGTCAGAAGAAACTGATCATGGGCCTGATCTCCTGCAGGACTTCACCTCAGACGACTGTCGACCTGACAGAGAGATAGAGCAGGGAAATAAGTCCTAACTACATTTCTGTGCTGAAACACTATGATTGAACTTTAGTATCAGATCTCTTGCCAGGCCTCCTCTGATGGGGCTTCTGAGGACTCTGTA